CAATTATTTTCAAAACTGGATCGCCACTTTAAATTAATGAATATTAGCATGAGTTTGGTAGCTCACGATTCAAATAGGTCAATGCCGCGATAAAACAAGAGATTAAAAAGCAGAGAAAATCCAATGAGTGCTGCAACACAAACCCAATACATGAACTCTTCTGTATACATGCTTCTGGATTCGAGAAGCATCTTCCCTACTGTGGTGGATTTATTAAATGCAAATGAAAAGGCTGCAATAGTAAGTAGGGAAAATATCAAGATAAACTAGTTACATTTATATTCTGTCTAATAATAGAGACATTATTTGCATATTCTTAGGAGATCTTACAGCATCCATCTTTTGTCAAGAAATTCGTGATGACAATAGCATTTTGTCCATACGACATGGGAGAGGCGTAGTAGCCCCATATCATCCATGGCTTGATGTCATCTGTAAAGAAGATTAGAAAACTCGCTATGAGACCAATAATATCAATAATACAAAGCAACCTGAGTATCTATATCTGTCATTAGTCATTTTACCGTTCATGGAACCATAAACAAATGCATTGGACCAAATATGGAACTGGCTCATTTCAGCTAGAAAAAGTATAACCAATTTAAAGATAAAAAGTGCTAACCTTTGGCAACAACAAATCCACCAAGGACAAAAACAACCAGCAGGGCAAAAGTACCAAGTGTGTAGCTACAACCTGTGTTCTTCCAACTGCAGCGATGAAGCGGAAGAGAGAGAGGGCCATTTGGTGAACACTGAAGAATGCCAAGAATTGGCGAAAAAACCTGAAACGTTGTTGATGTGTCAGTGAATACAACTTACAGATTGACATAGGCCACAGGCAGTAAAATGGTAACTGTAGTTCTGTGTAACTTAATATTGTGCATTCCCATACCTGCTAGCAGCTGGAGCAAAACCGATAGTGTAATATGTGAGGAGGATCCATATCCCTGACTCTAGCAAAGAAAGGGGGATCCTAAGGACCCAAATGGGCAAGGCAAAGGCCCATGCTGGATAGAACAAGAGAGCCCTCTGTTTAAAGAATACTGGAAGCCTAAATATGGTCAATGCAAGCTCTGCCGATCCATTAAACATAACGTTAGTGAGACTGAAGAATAGAGCACCATAAAATTTTCCTCCGTTTGATATCTGACCAGTCTTCATTGTTGTCCTAAAAAACACTGTGAAAGCAATGACAGACATAATGGTGATTTGGGTAGTCTTGAATATATATAGAAAAGAGTTGCGCTTCATCAGTAGCCATTCTCTTGAAAAGCAAGCCTTGAAAAGTTCCCAGTTTGAGATTCCATATTTGTTTTTCACCAAAGCAGCTGGGTGAGTTCTAGACTTATCATAAGGAATCCTAAGTTCATCATCAAGCTTTTGACCAATGTGGAAAGATTTGAAATGCTCCACGAACTCAAGTACAGATATATATTGATAAGGTTCACTTTTTCTGTACCAATACTGCTGCTGGTCCTTTCTGGAAGTAACTTCTTGTAAGAAATCTGCTACTCCTTTCCTTTCAGGACATTTGAATCCCACACTTTCAAAGAATTCAAGAACATTTTCTCGTGGTCCTTGATAGACTATCTTACCCTCAGAAAGAAGATAATGTCATCGAAAAGGTCATAGGCTTCTGGTGCAGGTTGCAGAAGAGAGATTATCATAGTTAAATCCATGATATGAACCATCTGCTTCATAAACCTTACAATCTGCAAAGTTGTAGAGCTATCTAAACCAGTTGAAATTTCATCCATGAAAAGAGCTTTGGCCGGTCCAACCAACATTTCTCCTGCATTTTGTATAACTAGTTCCGTTTAAGCTATTCTTACAAAAGTGAAATGGCACAACAAGGACTTTTACAAATGACAAAATGCTCCAAATATCAAGAAACACTAAATAAAATATATGGTTGATGTCATGGTGTACTTATTATTAAACATGTGGGCAAATATCCTTGAGTAATACTTAAGTAGAAAAATAGTTCAAGTCCCTTCACATTTTTGTCTGCAATTAGTTTACCTGTAGTTACACGTTTCTTTTGTCCACCAGATATGCCCCTTCTCATTTCATCACCCACCATAATATTAGAACATATATCCAGTCCGAGAATCTATTATCTCATCATAGTTAAGAAGTTAATCTTCAGAATATTGCTGGGCAGGAAAGTAAAGGACTAGAAACTAGTAAGAAATGGAGGCCGCAATGAACAAACCTTGAGAACATAATCAGTAACGAGACTAGTCCTTTGGCCAGCCATTGCTGTAGCTTTCATGAAAGCATCAATCTCAGGGTCTGGTTTGATCCTGCTTGTTTTTCTCGCCTCGACAACTCAGCCAAAAGTTCATATCGAGTTCCAACTCCCAAGCACCGCCCTGAGAAATCAAGTGTCTCCCTAACAGTCATCTCACCATTGTGAAGGTCATTTTGACTTATATAAGCACTTGTCCTTTGAGGGATAAATTCGCAAATTCATGACCACAATAAGTGATTTTTTGATACCTGTTCAAAGATTGAAGATTGTTCATCAGTCTAACAAAAAATTCATTAAGGATTTATTACAGGAACCAGCAATCAAAAAGCTAGAAGAAAAACATAAATTCGGATGCAACTTCAGGAATGGATTGAGCAAGGCAGCGACAAGGAAAGAAAGAAACAAATGAGTTTTTTTTTTTTGCATTTACATTAAAAAATATATACAGAATTTGATAACAAACCCTTGAATCAGTGTGTCTTCCAGCAAGTGCCTGCAGCAATGTAGTTTTTCCAGAACCTGGAGGTCCTAGAAGCAGTGTCATTCTGTATAAGAGAAAGAAAATGAATTAAATTGTCAGGAAAATTCGAATTAATTGAAGTCCATCTAAAAACTCGACCTGTCAAATTAATCATCTTGAGAAGTGAGAAGTTTGCCATGCCGCGGATAAAATTTTTTATTTTGTTATCTTTATTTATTGTATGTTTTTATAAAATTTATTAGAGAATTAAAAAGATTAAAAATAAAATAAAATGACATGTGGATATCTTAATTATTTTTATAAAATTATCTAATAAAAAAATAAATACAAAAAATGGAAAAAAAAAAAAAAGCTCACAAAGGATTCTACATTAACACTTAATTGAATAAAATATTTAATTTCTTAAATTAAAATAAATATGATTAAAAGGGACATTGAGATAAGTATGGGTAGGCGGGATATTATAATAATAATTTTGGCTAGATGATGGGTAGAAAGACATTTTCTGTAATTATGATTACTAGAGCATTATAATAACTTTGACCAATTATTATAAAAGTTAATATTTTAGTTATTATATTAAGAGGCATTATAATAATTTTTAGTTAATTATAGAAAAAAAGGTATTACAGTCGATTAGATATGTGTCATTCAATTATCAAGAATATAAGGGCATTATGATTATTTCCAATGGGATCATTCTCATATAATTGTATGAATGTTAAAAATGAATATGTAATTATGAAGCAATAAAAATGATATTTTTGTAATTATGGTATAAGGGTATTATACTAAAATTTTTTAAATTATCATATGAGGGGTATTACAATTTTCATAATTATGAAAGGAGAGGCATTATAGTAATTTTGACAAATGATAGTAAAAGGGCATTTTTGTAATTATGATTGTAGGGACATTATATTAACTTTGGCCAATTATGGTAAGAAGGGTATTATAATAAATATTTAAGAGAGGCATTATAATAATTTCAGTTACTCACAGAAAATGGGTATTACAATCAATTTGGATAAAAACAATTCAATTGTCAAGTAATTAAAAGAACATTATGATTATTTCTAAAGGGATTAATTTCATATTATTGTTAAAATTTAAGGTGTAATTATGAAACAATCAAAAATGATATTTTCATAATTATGCTTAAAGGATATTATAATAATTTTGGTTAATTATAATATGAAGGGTATATTTGTAATTATGATAGAAAGACATTATATGAAGTAATCAAAAGGATATTTTTTATA